TTTTGGGTTTTAAACTCAACATTTTCAGACCAATATTTTGATGAANAAAATAAGAAAACATATTTTTACGCTTAAACCGCGCATAGGCAAGCATCGATTGAAGTTTGACCTCCACGTATCGCTATGTATTACGCCTTTTAAAACACTGCTTAAAACACATGCCTAATTAGGTACATGTCATCATGATGCCGTTGCTACTGAATTCATCAACTAATCAAATTCCTTCGTACTACATACAATGACAAGTAGCTCTAAGTTGGATCATTGTAGTTTGATATGATTAGGACGACAAGTTTGAGTCAATTAATCAATATAAATGGACAAAAGATGAATGCCCGAATTGAGATTCTCGGTGCAATTATCGAAATATAGCAATATAATACTTTTAAATCAAATTTATAGAAGTTCAAAAAGTACCACATCATTTTTTGTCATTAACATACAATATAATTCTATATCATGAGAAGCATGTTTGGTTAAGTGTTAGTGTCAAATTTACTTATAAGCGTTTTTTTTATTTTTTTGGGCTTATAATTTTTAATTTCATTATTAAAATAAATAATTTATTTTTAATTTCGATGACAATTTCACAAAATTATAATTGTCAGTCGTCGGTCCTCCCCTACCATGTTCACTTATCATGACTACTTTCAAACAATGTTTAGTGTATAAACTTGCGGTTAGAATTGTCAACGCTAACAGGTTTCCTAGGAGGAGGATTCGGAACCAGTAAAACGAGACTTGATCCGATCAAAAATTGGAAACTCTGTATGACTGATTGCTTGTCATAGATTAGTCAACTTTTGATTAGTCAACCAGCAGCCTTGTCAAAGGACACGACATGTTATAGCTTATAAATATCCTCAATCCCACACATTCTTGGCATTAAAACAATTTACAAAAACCTTCATAAAACCACAATCTGCGTTTCCAAACCAAATTACAGTTACCAGTTCCGACAACATGACAACAAATGGTGAATTGTTTCGTCCTGAGTTTCAAGAATTCCTTCAACCATCAAGGCCTTTACATGCCTATTACACAACTATGGAGTCCAGCAGCACACCCCTAGAATATGGATTTTCAGACCAATATTTTGATGAAAGCTATGATTTTGAAGAACAGTACGTGACTGATGGTGATTTGCAGCAAAAGTTGAGAGGTTTTGTGGATGAACTCGACGTAAAATGCCATGAAAAGTTGAAGAAATTGTTTACCAAG